TTGTCCCTGCCCATGGCAGGTGGGTTGGAACTGGATCATTTTAAGGTCCCTTCCAACCCAAACCATTCTATGTTTGTTACTCACTGAGTAGCCTCAGAAAAATCTCTAGATTCCTGATACTTGCTAATCTGTTGAACCTGTTGAAGAGCTGGACTCGCAGGGCATTGCATTGCATCGCAATTGCCATTGTTCCCCAAAGTGAATTATTATAAACAACTCCAGCCTGATGGTACTCTCTCCTCCAGGAGCACACAGTCCTTTCTCTGCTTGAGACTGATGTGTTTTGAAAACATTGTTCCACACAACGGACCACAGACTTGTCAGGGCTGTTTAAAGATCTTGCCCAATAAGCCGGTAATTCCTCTGCTAACTGCTGGCAAGGCTGGTAACTTGTAATAGCAAGTCCTGTGCAATCACCCTGTACCTTGCTATTCTCAGAGTCATGGGCTGATGAGCGGTTCCTGGGAAGCTGCTTAGCACCTGGCAAATTCAAACCCTCTGAGAAAAATACTTAGTGCTGTGTAATGCCACCACAGCAAAAGAACTACAGATATTTATTTGCACTTAAGCCTTGCAATAAATATTAATGCTCTGGTTTCAGGATACATGTTTCCCAGTCCTTGCTCTTCACCTCTCCCTATTCCCTGCTCCGTGACCTCTGCCACCTTGATGTGATTCCTCCTGCCTCTACTCACTCACACTTGTCAAGTGTGGCTCTTCACCCTCCCCAACCCAGCCTCTCTTCTTTTCCCCTTGTGTCAATAGCCTCTTACTTTGTTATCAGGAAAAAAACCTGCAAACAGCAGTGAAAGCTGAAGCTGCTCCTTCAGTGGGAACTGCTGTGTACCTGCAGATCAGTTGGCATCTCCCTTCTTGTTTGGTTTGTCTTGAGTGTTTGGTTTTGTTGGGGTTTTTTTGTTTTAATAACCAACGAAATTATCAGACAGGTCTTTTTCTGAAAGGAGAGAGTCTTCTGAAATCTGCAGCTGTGTCACAGCTATTTGGTGTTCAAAGCAGTTTCCACTCATTTAGCCACAGCTCAGCTGGCCGTGTCAGTTTTATCTTCCAAAATTTTCACAGTAGATTCAAATGCAGAACGTGTCTTTGTTTTATATTGCACTGCAGTTGGAAAAACACTTGCAAAATGAGTTTTCAGGCTGGTTACTTGTGTCCCTATAAATCTGCCAGCATTTGTTCACATTTTGAGCCTATCGGAGCCCTTCTAGTGAAGCAGAAGAGCATCTTACATGGTTGAAGGACTCAGTTATGGCTCTGTTCAGGGGTTCAAAGTAGCTGAGCTCATACAAGATGTTTTAAGCTGCCTGTCTGTACCTGCATGGCAGCATCTGCACCCCTAAGACATAAACCTGCAAGGTGCTAATTACCTCCCCGGGGATTGCCCGGCATTTAACATTTTCCGTGTGTCGTGTCCTCCTCTTCCCTCGTACCATTAATTGCTGCTTTCCCTGGCAAGGGAGAAGCTTAGGGAAATTAAGTTCAACGTGGTTTTTCTTCATTTTGGAAAATATTATAATTTTCTGCCATATGTGAGTAAATCACTACTTTCCCTCTCCCCTCACCCCACTGCTTGCATGAGACAGTAGCAAAGACATGGTGCTCCATGGGGAAAGAGCATGCCCAAAGAGGCTGCAGCATCACTTCATGAAACCTTTGAAATGAGGAGAACAGGATCTGGCCTCTGTAAAAGAGGGAGTTCCCCTGAAACCAGCATCCTTTCTGCTGCCATCCCATGGATCCACATTTTGAGTTGTGGCCCTTCCTCCCATCATTGCAGGATGTCCTTGGGGACCGATGACCTGTTGCCATGAGCTCGACCAGCTCCCAGCACGATGAGGCCAGTTTCACAGCTGCCTCCTTGACCCTCCTTAGGAAATAATACAATACACATGTTTCTTTATTGCAGGGATAAGGCACAGGGCAGGGACTTGTGCATGGATGAAGGGAAAGGGGCCAGCCCTGGTGCCTTTTTCACAGTCCCTTCAATGCTGACCTGGCTCTGTGCTTGGACAGGCAGCTGTAAAGCAGCGCAAATACATTAAAGGAGCCCCTTTCCCTTCTCCTATCCCACACAACCCATGGAAAGTTGTGATGCTCTTGTCCTCCCACCCAGCAGTGAGATATCTCCACAGATTTGCTGGCTATGAATTCAACCCATCACCAACTAACAGCAACACAGAGTCCATCTGCAGTGAGAGCATTAGGTAAACTCTGCTCCAAGGAACAGAGCTCCTTCCTTTTTCTTTTTTTTTTAAACAAATCTGAGTTTTTCAATACAGAAGGATGTAAAATAATCTCTGACAGTGGAGCAAACAAGACAGCCAAAAGAGGCAGAGCTGCTGGCTCAGCTCTTTTATTTATTTAACCATGGAAACTCCTGCTGTAAGTCACTTTGTTTTTCCCAAGACCTCAGCAGCAGATTAATGGTGGCATCAAGACCTAGCATCCCAGACACTCCCCAGAACCGACATAACCAGAGAGGTCTCTTGGGATATGCTGCTAACCATTCCTAGTGTGTTGACTAACGAGGACAGTCCAGCATCATCTCCAGAATTTCTGCAAGGACTTGAGGTCTGGATATGGCCACCCCAACGGTTTTAGCAATTCACTGGGGAAATTGCTTTGTAGGCAGTCATTTATCACATGGATGTTGTTGGCTCCTGGAGTTCTCATTGCAGAAGTATCGTTTGCCCTCCTCTGCTGAAGCTTGCCAGAGTGAGAAATCTTCCCTTTTTGTGCTCTTGTGCTCCCACGGACATCAATGTATGTTGTTTAATTATAATTTAAGCTAAAGGACCTCCATAGAAAGCATTGGAGAAATCAGAGATGATGGCATGTTTATGCTCTTGGTATTCCAGAGCAACCTACTGGATTGAATAAAGTATTGTGGAAACATGAGTTTGGGGTGAAATATAGTCTCTCACACATTATAGAAGGGATGTCAAATACACTGTGAACTGTGGATTTAAATTTACCCTGTCTTGATCCAGTGCTGATCACAAGCCTTGTCAAATGCCCTGAGGGGCAAAAGCTTTTTGCAGGAGCTTTTCAGACCTGGTTCCAGGATAAAGACTCTGGGATGCGGGATGGCACCTTATTTAGCTGCTCACCATAAAACACAGTTATTGGACTGAAGCCTGCAACCCTGTCAGTTCTTCTGCAGAAAATTCACTTCTATTCAAGGCATGCCCTTGAACAAGGATGAAAAAGATTTAGCCCATGTTCAGAGGCTGTCCAACAGGGTAGGGTTCACTTTGCCCATCACCTTGAGGGGTGGCTGTTGGCCCTGCAGCAATTCTCAAAGAGAAGAGACATTACACCAAGAGAACAGGAGAAAACAAATCATTAGAAAAAAAAAAATCATGAAAAGGGAGACTGGTTCCAGCTAGTCCCACAGAAATTGCTTGCCAGAGCATGGGGAGGGTGGAATGACTTAGGGCACCGGTAATGGGATACAGAGATTTGGACAGAGCTTAAGAGCATCTCAGGGACCTGTTATTTGGTTCTTCCAGCACAGTGAATGGCACTGCTGCTGGTGTACGGATCAGAGGGGCCACTTTCAGCCTGGGTTACTGTCCCAGCCCTGGAAGAGATCTTTCCAGCTCTCTTGGCAGAGACTAGTAGCAGAAGAAGCTGCAGTTGCCAGGCTGGAGCTGCTCTGCGAATAGACAGAAGGCAGAGATGCTATTCCTTCCTGCTTTGCTTTTTTTTTTTTTTGTTTTGCAAGCAATTGCCACTTCTGTCCCTCTATTTATAGCAGCAAGCACCTATGAGATATCAAATTGCTCTGTTAGTTACATGTGTGCATCTGTACTTAGAGTTTTGATACCTTTTTAATTATTTCCCAGCTTGCCTGTTACAGTGGGCTGGCAGCTGATTCACTCATTCTCCCACTGCCTATTTACATTCTATTTCACACACATTTAATTGGAGCATTATCTACCTTTCCACGCCATTTCTTTCCTTGAGTCATACCTGCCTTTTAGCATTGTTATTCATAAGCTGAAAATCATTTCTACGCTTGCCTCCTCTTACATCATCTTCACACTTACGTGATGGCACCGAGTCCTTCTCTCTTGACTGGCCACACGCACCCTCAGCTTGCTTCCATGCTTTCTCAGCTGTGCTTTTGCCTCTTCCAACCCCAGCTCCTGAGATGCCTTCTTTTGAATTCTGATTTTGCAGTGTCCCCGTTCTCCAGGTTTCAGCACAGACGTCTGCCCACGCAGCACAAAAGCATGGCAGTGATCCTGCCCTTCCCTCTCCCATCCCTCCAAGGCTGAGGAACCCATCCTCCTTTGGCTCTATCACATTCTTTCTCTTGCTGTTTAGCGCTCAGATACTCCCACATCCCTCAAAATA